TTCTGCTTCTTCTTTGTCACTTTTTTCCTTAACCGATGAGAGAACCAGAACTTAGGCAAAAACCACGTAGATGGTGTTGACGCCAGAGAAGAAGTCAGAATAGAATTACACGGAACCCGCTGTCCGATTCACCGGGAAAGTCTGCATATACTACCTTATTTTCATCAAATTTGGTTCAGCGCGGCAGAAGCACCTAATTCTCTGATGCTTCTGTATGCTTTAATAAAAAATACGTCTTAAAAATTATATAAAGGGTAGCCCAGAAGTCCTGTCTCATTCAATATTTCCTCAATATCTCGGTCAAGATGGACAAGTCTCAATCTTTTTTAAAAGAAACCACCTCATTCAGTTATTTACACAAAAGATACTGAACATTTCTTTATGTACTATAAGAATAAAAGAATATAACGGAAATACGAGAAAGCTTCAATATCAATTACTTTCAAACCGAAAAAACAGGTTTTGCAATTTCAGTCCCTTATATATTGCTATATGAAAAAAGTTAAGTAAAAGGAACACACGATGATACTAACAGATAAGGAAACGAAATAACAGAATAAAAGTAAATTGCAAAAAGGACTAGAGAATGAGAGGTATGGGTTATTTCATTTTTATTTTAGTTCTTTGACTGACACATCCTTCTGGGTGTATCTCTAATGCTTCTCGAGCCATTTTTAGAATTCACTTTTATTCTGTTATTTCTTTTTCTTCTTTATTAGTATTCTAGAATGGTCTTTAACAAAACAAAAACAACTTGTCGTTTACCGATTTTTCCTCGATTCAAGTCCATCCAAAATTTTTCCAACTCCTGACCAGTCCATGGTCTTGAAAGTTTGAGTCCAGTCTATACGGAGCTCTGGTGTTTAAACATCATTTTGCGAAAATGATGCTAAGTTCACTATTTTGCTGGCAGAGTAAAATTCTTATAACTTCTTTGGAGTTCTGCGGTTTACGATGCTTGTTTTTCAGCTCGTCGAGATCTACAAAGTGTGGTAGGTCTTGTCATTTGCGCTAAAATCTTTGCATACCGTGGTGGATATAAAAAATCAGCTGCCGTTTAAGGTTAGGCGGGTACAGTGACTGGTACCCATACAGAGAAAGAAGAATCTTTACAAAATGTGCACACTCTCTAAACACATCTCCTTTTCTGTTTAGTCTTATTTTACACAATTGAAACAATTAATAATCATACAATTAGTGTAACTAGAAATCATTTGATTCGTGTTCATGATCAATCACAGTCTTACGTGTCAGCTGAAACCCTAAAATTAAACGATTTGATTTATGAAAAGAATGGTGTTCCTGTTAAAATAAAATCAATTAAAACGTCGTATAAACAAGGTATTTATGCACCGGTAACACTCAGTGGTCATCTGATGGTTAACAACGGCGGTCTACTGGCATCGTGCTACGTTGAATATAAACCGTTGCACGTCACACATCATCTACTACACCGAATACTTCTTCCATATCGTTTATGGTATAGTCTAACATCAAAGTGGTTACCTCGTCCCCAACAACAGAGCCAAACTGAGAGTGAAAACAAAATCCATTGGCTTGTTCTATGGCTGTATTATAATCGTGAACTTGTACGTCTAGTTTATTCAATGTGTACTGCAATAACAATTTACGTTGCTGCTGAATTTATCGTACAAATAACTTATGTGCTACGTGTAATGGTAAACAAACAAATAGTGACATAACAGAAAAAGCCTTGAACGTTCGATTACTTATTTATTCAAGCAAAAAGATTGTTATATACAGTTTTTACTATTCACACAGTGTGTGTGTATGCAACTGTTGTTGAGTTTTTTGTTTTTCTTCGTATACTTAAACATATTTTTCGGTGCAGGGCCTCTCTCAGTATTTTATTCAATAGCACACTTTTTAATTTTTGTTGCTATATTTTTTTGTTTATATTTTTCGTTTTAGAATGAAGATTATCAACAAAAACCAAAATTTCTGTTTTTTTTGCTGACCTCATTTTGTTGTACGGGTGGTTCCGTATGAAACATACCACGTTATACAAAAGTGATTACGCAGGAGGCGAGATATACATTTTCTGATACCTTTTTGGATGCTGATTCCAATGGTGAAAACCGCAGGTCTCTATCTGACTAGGAAAAAACGTTATGCTCAAAATATGTTTACAGCAAAAAAGTGCTTTTTCAGTCGTTTCCCAGCCAGATCGATCTCTAATGCAGAGCTCATTCTGGCCGAAGGATGTGTCGTAGAACCTTCATTTTTGCGTCCAATCAAAGAGCATGACCACTTCTATATAGACCTGTATAGTTCATTCGTGTACAAAGGGTTTGATAGGAGCTGGGTTTTCGGGAAAACCCAAAGGATTTCAGTCACAAGGTTTTTGATTATTTTTTGCAGTGTTAGAGAAAGTAATTTTTAACGGGTTGTTTCACTCGCACAATCTAACTGTCATCTTCGTTCACTTGTAAAACGGGTTTTAGATGGGTTTTGAGGGAGAGTTTTACGCAGAACACGGAAACATCAAACTCATGATACCAAACTTCTTCGATATATGTTTATACATGGAACTGCGAGTTAGCTTCCAGGTAATGATAGGTTGTATTGTATGAGGGACAGCCTCAACCAACACAACAAACCGTGTTTTCGTTCAGAAAACTCGCTTCTTACGCCTTACGAATTCTTTGAATTTTCCAAAAGCAAATTTTCAAGAAAAATTCAAAAGACTACGAGTAAGCACAAGCCTTTGTACACGAATGAACTATACAGGTCTATATAGAAGTGGTCATGCTCTTTGATTGGACGCAAAAATGAAGGTTCTACGACACATCCTTCGGCCAGAATGAGCTCATGCAGAGCTCATTCTGGCC